AGCATCTACAGTCAGCCTATGTAGGAAGTCTGTGAACTTATCAGTGCGGAGACTAGGTAGAGCATAGCAGCTGTCGTCATGGATTCCCTCAAAGTTCACAATAGCAAAACCACTCTGCGTGTTACTGCTGATGTTTCGGAAAGGCCGGTTCCCGCAAGCCCAGATCGCAGCCTTTCTGCTGGCGTCTGTGACCCAGGATTGAGTGCCAAGATCTCGATATGGCTCAGAAATCATGACAAGGTCAGCCTTCAGCTCACGCACCATCTGCATAAGCAGATCGTGTGCGTCCTCGCAGTGATTGCGGTTGAGCTGTAATACCTTGCAGCTGATCCGTTTTTTATCGCCTTTTGTTAGCAAGCTTCTGGAGTGCCTCTCTGTAAGCCGGGCATCTGCTGCTGCCAGCGACATGGGCACAATTCTCCGTTTTCCCATCTTCAGCGCATAGGGCGCACCGAGGATCCTTCTGACACTCCTTGGCCTTGTGGCCATCTCCTGCACATCTTGCGCAGAGCTTCGACCGATCCACTGCGCTCCTACACTTGCTGGCAAGATGTCCGTAGTGCCAGCACTTGAAACACTTGACCGGCCTCTGTACTCTACGTATGCGGCAGTTTACCCAGCCGATCTTAATCTTCCCGTGGTCGTCCTCTCCCAGGATCTTCGTCACCGCAGCTGACGTGAGGGTCAAATAGGCAGTTTGAGTTCCACCGTATGCTTTGCGCATAGATTGGATGGTCTCAGGACCCATTTGGTGTTCCTCACCTACAGCTCTCTATAGGGCCTCAAGGACGTCCTCTTTGGATGTATCCTCATCAATGTCCTTGATTTCGATATCTTCCCGGGGCTCTTTGCTTAGCACGTCGGCCTCTTGGCCGAGCAGGTCAGCAGTGGCTGATCTTACCTGGGAAGCTCCATCGGTCTCCTTCTTGTTGAGGATAATCAGGATGTCCCCTGCGGCCGTGCGTCTGATCTTCTCGACGCAATCGCTAGCCTCACCACAAGTGCTATCCTTCTTCACTCGCCGTACGATTTCGGAGTACATCTTCTTCTCCTTAGGGCGAATGATCAGTGCTTTCGGCCTGACCACTGGTTTCCTCTGGGTTCGCTTCCGGCTTGGGTTTTGCCGAAGCGACTCAGGAGCTTGCTCAGATTTCTTCCTTCGACGCTTCCACTTCTGCCAGCCCTCAATGTCGTGAACCTCATATTTATCCGGCCCGATTAGCTGGTGTTTGCCTACATCCCTCTGCGGTTCCGCTTCGGTTGGATTGGTGTGGTCTCCTGTCAAGACCTCTTCAGAGCATCAGGATCCGTTCCCGGGGACTCGCGATTTCTGTTCTTCTTGGTCTGGTGCTCATTCTGCACCCCACTTCACGATCCCACGTCCATCGATGTTGGCTCATGAGGTTTCGTCTTCTGCGTAGCCCCTTGTTCTGATGCACCTTGACAAATTGATCGGAGACGTTTTGCAGAAGTTTGAATGCTCCTGGCGAGCTGTCGTATTCCTTCATTGATGGTCCGCTTGGTTTTGGCCGCTATCTGGGACAGAAGATCTCCAATGAGCTTCTCGTGACGATCCCAAGCCTGCTCCTGTCTCGATCCTCCGTTCGAGTTGGTGATTTCAGTCACCTTTTGAGTCTGTGGCTCCACCCCACTTGTAGTATCTGAGGCCAAGTGGTCCGCCTTTGAGAAGTGTGATGGTTGGCTCTTCCCAGAATCCAAGGAGTCGGCATTGGCCACCGGGGCTTACACCCGATCGGAACCAATGGTAGGATTTACCTATTGAAGAGAGGTTACCACCTGGGATATTTTTGTGTTGTCATCACTACTCAACATTTTTTGTTTGGCTGTTAAACAGAGCCACTGTACAACTTTGTAAGTTATAGGGAGCCCACCCTGCACACCGCTTTTAGAGTTGGGTTTCTCGGAAGGTGTTGGTTCGCGCCGACGTATTTTATGTAGTCGATACCCTATATTCTGAACTGTCGTTTAGAATATCGAGCATTCCCCCATCCACCACCTGGGGATGCGTCACGTTACAGGACCTTCCAAATTGCGAAAACTCTCGGAGGGTAAAGGCGTTCCTCGCCGAAAGGATCCGTGGTGTGTGTTTTTTGTTTTTTTTTTAACAGAGAATTGGGAAAATCTTTAAAAGATTCTGGTAAAGTGATGTTAAAAACCAGATCTGGGATTTTAACCCAGTAAAAACCCTGTTTTCCTCTTTTTTACCTCTAATCGTCCGTTCCCATTTCCCTCGTGGTACCACCGTGAAGTATTACTTCGCGAGGGGGGTTCTCAGCTGTTTGCTCTTCCACTATTTCCTTCCAATGTACGTCCCCCTAACCTGCTAAGATATTGTGTGTGATTAGGAGGTTCCAAATAGATTTCTCACCTATACTGCAACCTTGCACTTGGGTTCCTCGTTTCTGAGTTTCTTTATGACTTCCGCCGCGAAGTTGCTCGTTGCGTCCCAGGCTGTCTCTGATGACAGCATTGCTTCTACTACATTTTCGGGCGAGACTTTCCTTCCAAGTTCAGTCTCCCAAGTATCCCGGATGTCACTGAAATGGGGGCATGTGAAGAATACGTCCTCCGCGTTCTCGTCCACTTCAGCGCAGGTGGGACACGTCGGGGAATCTTCATGTTTGAATTTATGAAGATATGCTCGGAAGCACCGGTGTCCTGAAAGCATTTGAGAAAGATAATAGTTTATCTCTCCATGATCTCAACTTACCCAGACAGCCACATACGGGATCAGACGATGGGTCCATCTCCCCTTGGTCGAATTTGTCCACTTCTGCTGCCATCGGCTCAAGCTCTTTCGTCTCTCTTGGATTTTCAGTTCTTTGGGACTCAGCGCTTCTGATCTCTTCCGCTGGTATAGAGATCTTCGCTCCTCAGCTAATAGCTCTATCGGTAACATTCCTGAGATGACGCACACTGCAGCCTCAGATACCGTCCGATACGCACTCGCAACTCTGAGAGCACTCAGCCGATAGACAGGTGCAATTTTACGGCGAGCTTCTTGCAGCTGGAGTACGTCAGCCCAAATGGAAATACCATATGTAACCACTGATGTAACCACCGACGACAGCAGCGCTCGTCTCCGTTGTTTAGGACCTCCAATGTTGGGCATGAGGCGTGCTAGGGTGGATCTGTCCCCAGATGCCTTGGTACACACGTGCTCCGCTTGCTGCTTGAAGTTGAGTCGGGCATCGATCATCACCCCCAGGTATCGGATGAATGGCTGGGAGGTATTTTCACAAGACCCGACCTGCAGCGGACGCAACGAGCAACTTCGCGGCGGAAGTCATAAAGAAACTCAGAAACGAGGAACCCAAGTGCAAGGTTGCAGTATAGGTGAGAAATCTATTTGGAACCTCCTAATCACACACAATATCTTAGCAGGTTAGGGGGACGTACATTGGAAGGAAATAGTGGAAGAGCAAACAGCTGAGAACCCCCCTCGCGAAGTAATACTTCACGGTGGTACCACGAAGGAAATGGGAACGGACGATTAGAGGTAAAAAAGAGGAAAACAGGGTTTTTACTGGGTTAAAATCCCAGATCTGGTTTTTAACATCACTTTACCAGAATCTTTTAAAGATTTTCCCAATTCTCTGTTAAAAAAAAAACAAAAAACACACACACCACGGATCCTTTCGGCGAGGAACGCCTTTACCCTCCGAGAGTTTTCGCAATTTGGAAGGTCCTGTAACGTGACGCATCCCCAGGTGGTGGATGGGGGAATGCTCGATATTCTAAACGACAGTTCAGAATATAGGGTATCGACTACATAAAATACGTCGGCGCGAACCAACACCTTCCGAGAAACCCAACTCTAAAAGCGGTGTGCAGGGTGGGCTCCCTATAACTTACAAAGTTGTACAGTGGCTCTGTTTAACAGCCAAACAAAAAATGTTGAGTAGTGATGACAACACAAAAATATCCCAGGTGGTAACCTCTCTTCAATAGGTAAATCCTACCATTGGTTCCGATCGGGTGTAAGCCCCGGTGGCCAATGCCGACTCCTTGGATTCTGGGAAGAGCCAACCATCACACTTCTCAAAGGCGGACCACTTGGCCTCAGATACTACAAGTGGGGTGGAGCCACAGACTCAAAAGGTGACTGAAATCACCAACTCGAACGGAGGATCGAGACAGGAGCAGGCTTGGGATCGTCACGAGAAGCTCATTGGAGATCTTCTGTCCCAGATAGCGGCCAAAACCAAGCGGACCATCAATGAAGGAATACGACAGCTCGCCAGGAGCATTCAAACTTCTGCAAAACGTCTCCGATCAATTTGTCAAGGTGCATCAGAACAAGGGGCTACGCAGAAGACGAAACCTCATGAGCCAACATCGATGGACGTGGGATCGTGAAGTGGGGTGCAGAATGAGCACCAGACCAAGAAGAACAGAAATCGCGAGTCCCCGGGAACGGATCCTGATGCTCTGAAGAGGTCTTGACAGGAGACCACACCAATCCAACCGAAGCGGAACCGCAGAGGGATGTAGGCAAACACCAGCTAATCGGGCCGGATAAATATGAGGTTCACGACATTGAGGGCTGGCAGAAGTGGAAGCGTCGAAGGAAGAAATCTGAGCAAGCTCCTGAGTCGCTTCGGCAAAACCCAAGCCGGAAGCGAACCCAGAGGAAACCAGTGGTCAGGCCGAAAGCACTGATCATTCGCCCTAAGGAGAAGAAGATGTACTCCGAAATCGTACGGCGAGTGAAGAAGGATAGCACTTGTGGTGAGGCTAGCGATTGCGTCGAGAAGATCAGACGCACGGCCGCAGGGGACATCCTGATTATCCTCAACAAGAAGGAGACCGATGGAGCTTCCCAGGTAAGATCAGCCACTCCTGACCTGCTCGGCCAAGAGGCCGACGTGCTAAGCAAAGAGCCCCGGGAAGATATCGAAATCAAGGACATTGATGAGGATACATCCAAAGAGGACGTCCTTGAGGCCCTATAGAGAGCTGTAGGTGAGGAACACCAAATGGGTCCTGAGACCATCCAATCTATGCGCAAAGCATACGGTGGAACTCAAACTGCCTATTTGACCCTCACGTCAGCTGCGGTGACGAAGATCCTGGGAGAGGACGACCACGGGAAGATTAAGATCGGCTGGGTAAACTGCCGCATACGTAGAGTACAGAGGCCGGTCAAGTGTTTCAAGTGCTGGCACTACGGACATCTTGCCAGCAAGTGTAGGAGCGCAGTGGATCGGTCGAAGCTCTGCGCAAGATGTGCAGGAGATGGCCACAAGGCCAAGGAGTGTCAGAAGGATCCTCGGTGCGCCCTATGCGCTGAAGATGGGAAAACGGAGAATTGTGCCCATGTCGCTGGCAGCAGCAGATTTCCGGCTTACAGAGAGGCACTCCAGAAGCTTGCTAACAAAAGGCGATAAAAAACGGATCAGCTGCAAGGTATTACAGCTCAACCGCAATCACTGCGAGGACGCACACGATCTGCTTATGCAGATGGTGCGTGAGCTGAAGGCTGACCTTGTCATGATTTCTGAGCCATATCGAGATCTTGGCACTCAATCCTGGGTCACAGACGCCAGCAGAAAGGCTGCGATCTGGGCTTGCGGGAACCGGCCTTTCCGAAACATCAGCAGTAACACGCAGAGTGGTTTTGCTATTGTGAACTTTGAGGGAATCCATGACGACAGCTGCTATGCTCTACCTAGTCTCCGCACTGATAAGTTCACAGACTTCCTACATAGGCTGACTGTAGATGCTAAGCAACACTTTCCCGTGGTGATAGCTGGAGACTTCAATGCCTGGACAGTTGACTGGGGCAGTAAGGTAACAAACGCTAGAAGACAGGCTTTACTGGAAGGCATGTCATCTTTGGACGTAATCTTACTGAACAGTGGAGAAGAACCAACCTTCATTCGGGGAAAGGCGAGCTCAATTGTGGATCTTACCTTCGTGAGTGGTGCTCTCGCCAAGAGAAACTACTCATGGAGAGTAACTGATATCTACACTGCGAGTGACCACCGGGCAATACTCTGGGAGATCTGCTCTGACCAGAAAGCCAGATCAACCGCAAAGAAGACCAACAGTGTTGATTGGAGGGTGAGCACCTTTGATTCTGGCTCTTACTCGGTGGCATTAGATGACCGTCCGATTACTGGCACGAATGCAACAGTGAAGGCACGGGACATTATGGCGAAGGTGACTAAAGCCTGCAATGCCACTATGACGAGGAAGCGGACCACGAATCGACACCCCCCGGTGGATTGGTGGAATGACACCATCGCGGTCCTCCGGAGGGAATGCAACGCAGCTAGGAGTTTGTCCCAACAAGGCCGGAAGAAACCAAACTTCGAGGAAGTCGAAATGAGGTACAAAAAGGCACGTCGGAAACTGAGCAAGGCGATAAAGCACAGCAAGAAGCATTGCTGGAGTGAACTTCTTGCTGAAGTAGAAGGCGATCCCTGGGGGAGACCTTACAAGGTGGTAATGACATGACTGAAAAGTCAACCTATGCTAACACCATGGTGTCCTGTTCTCCTGAGAAAGATCGTTGAAACGCTGTTCCCTCAACAACCAGATTTTCACCGTCCCGCCCGACAACAGGAGGATGAGATCGTAGCGAAAATCACAAGGGAAGAGTTGATGGAGGCCTACATGCGAGTGGGTAACACCAAGGCCCCTGGCCCAGACGGTATCCCTAACATTGCACTGAAATCGGCAATCCAAGCG